CACCTTCACACCCTCGCATGATATCCGCTTTAACAACCCGGGCACGTCATGCCGACTCGGCCTGTAACCCACCCACGTTTTCCCGTGTAATAAACCCTCGTTGGCCGGAGGTTACGCAACGCCGCCGTACAACGGTGTGCCCATTGGCCACCTCTGTTCTTCCTACGAGATAAGGGTACTATTAGAGGAGATGGATGCGTTGCTCATCGTGTTGAAATGTGTTTCGGGAAAAGGAGACTTGAGGATGATGGACGTACTGTAGATGATGCGTTGTTCGTGTCTCAAAAAAATAGCTGGCTACTTTCAAACTATTACTAGATCTCGGCCCCTCCCTGTGTATAGCGCACGTCTCGCATATCATCATTGATATGTAGATCGAACTCACACAGCAGCAACAACGAACGGCAGACCTGGCGAGGCTACTTGTTACCTTCAACTCCACAAAAGACGAGTCGAGATGTGGTATGCTTGCCGTGAAAACAGAAGAAGATTTCATCGGGGAGAAAGACCTATCCGTTTGGCGTCCTTTTCAAATAATCTTCATCCCGTCGCTGCCGTGGGTGGTCGGTCGATCGATCGGTCGGTCGTTCGGGTAGGGTTGGGTTGGGTTGGGTCGGGTGGGGGATGGTGGGTTTGGTCGGTCGGTCGATCGGTCGGGCTGGGGTTGGGTTGTGTGTTGTGTTGGGTTGAGTGGGGTAGGGTATAACCGAGGGTTTTCTCGGTAATTTTTCCGCCGTTAAAATACCGCCGTGGTGGGCGGTCCCGGCAGTCTGCCGTTTTACCGCCTCCGCCAAAGGCGTTTCCGCCGAAAAACGCGTTACCGCCTTTCACCAAAACAATCACCGCCGTATGGCGTTACCGCCGAAATATAATCACCAAATGTCTGTTTAACCGTTTCCGCCAATGTCGTTACCGCCAAACAACGCATCACCGCCTACCGCCCAGACAACTACCGCCACACGTCAATGCCGCCGGAAAAATACCGTCAAACGGCGGTGCCGTCGAAAAATTTCCGCCATCCCCAATCCCCGTGGTGTCGAATCAGGCGACGTGAAGAGCTTCTACATACGCCCAGCACTGCTACTTTGCTGATGATCACGCTTAGGTAGATGCTCAACCTGCATTGCATCGGGGCGAATGAATACAATTGAAAGGTAGTCGGTCTGATGGAGCCTCTTGCGAGTTGCGGACATGCTGAGGGTCGTTGCCATTGGACCACAAAATATTCCAGCAGTGAGTGAGTGTCGTTCCCTCTGTTTTCAGTGTAGGGCACTCTGTGATACTTGTTGAAGATTCTTTTGGGATTGCGATTGCCAGAGGTTGTTTCGTTATTTCCAAGGCGCGCGATTCTGAACGGTTCGATGCACGAGCACCTGGTCTGCGTATCGTATCAACAGCAGACAGCAGTCTAAAATATACGTCGCTCGCAGCATATGGTACGTTCCTGTCGCAACAGCTCCTACCGACGACCGACGACCGACGACTGCATAGAATATTCTTTCCCTTCGCCGTATGTGTGTGTGTCTCTCCTTTTAGCATCGACCCCGCGTATCCGACTGAGAATGGAATTGTGCCAGGAATATTGGTGACAGCGGAACACAACGCGAATCATATACGTATTCTAGACTGTCGTAATAATCTCGCTCGGGATTGTGATTGGGCTGCGAGGAAAAATACTTTCGATGAACATTCCTCCGCTTATTTTCCCACTCCGAAGCATTTCTGGCGCTACTGCTGGCAGGTGGGACTAGTGTCGTTGGCATTGACATGCGGTGATGTGTGATTGTTCCGCCCGAAATGGATGCACCAACAACCAACAACCAATCCACGTCGGTGGATTTCGTCGGAAAAGACTAAAAGTGCACTGAACTGAAACGGCAATACAGCCATCCCCGATCCCCTGAGAACGATAAACATGCGAAATAGAGTAATTTCTTGGCGCCCATGGAGCTCCAACTGTAGCTCATTCCCACGCCCGCACCACACACCGTCAAACCTTCCACACACCACCACTCTTACGAAAAAATGAAGACCGCTGCTTGCATCGCCGCTGCGTGCGCCACTTCGGCGTCGGCCTTCGTGGCCCCCAGGTGAGGAAGAGCGCCCGCTGCCCAGCGCGTGATGTGTGTGTGGTCTTTCTCACGCACGCACCGCTTTTTGAGTTTTTTGGGGGGGAAGATTTCAGGTTCATGTTGCGAAAAACGCACCGGCTATCAGCTAGCTAGCTTATCCATCTGCTCTGTCGTCGTCGAGCTTGGTCGCGTAATGCGGCTCCCACTCGTAAGAAAGGCTCAGTGTGTTCTTTGAAGCCGTCCTGTTCGATCGTACACGCGCTCACCTCCATGTTCCTTTGGTACGAAGCACACAGCAATTTGGTTTGTTGTATGCAGTGCAAAATTGCAAAATTGGCTGTCTCTCTCTCTTGAAAGAAAAGAGAGGCGCACAGAAAAAGGCAGTCACGACCGCATGGGCAGGGTCGAGAGGGTATGGTGCTGCAAGCCACAGCCGACTGCCACAGCATTCGAGCTTCACCTACCGTCGCCTCCTGTCATGTAGCCTCTATTCCTTCCTTATCTGTACATTATTGCCTGTGTAGACGGGAGGGCGCATGCGCCTTTTGGTCCGTGTCGACGCGTGTGCCCCGCTCTCGGCTGCCAGGAAGATCTGTGCGTTCAACAAGCGATCCCCCATAGCGTCTCTCGCGAAACACACATCGGTAGTAGTCACTCTCGCCACATGATATCTACCACGGCTGCCTGGCATTAGTAGTGGATGTCGTTTATGGCGAAGAAGGTCTTGTTGACGAAGAAGAGGATAGGGATGGATGGGTAGCCGCGGTTGCTTGCCCCGCAACATCCATTGCCATCCGTTCGATGGGAGGGACTTCATCATGCGCGTTGGGTCGTTTGTATAGAACGACCCGCTGCATTCTTGTCCGAAAAACGGGCCGTAGACCCAAAGCTTTCCCAAAGCTTTTTACACTTGTGACCGTGACGCGCGTCTACCTAGACGATATCCCCACCTGGCGTAGCGGCCGGTCATATTGAAGTCTGTGCGGTACCGACGTGCGCGCGCATTTGTGCATGTGCGCTTTGCTGTTGGGGTAGATATCGTGCCCTCCACATCAGCAAAGAGCCACGAACCTGTCAAGGGACTCGATCAAAAATATTGATGTTGTGAAGGTCCGAGGTTGTATGAGCCCTCTATGGGATGCACCTTATCTGGGAAGTCGCTTTTGCTACCGACATCTGTGACAAGTATTGTTTTGATCCCTGCAGGTTGCTCACGCTTTCACCTCGCATGGCGGTCGGCCGCTAGGATAGCCGATGTTCGCGTGCACATGAATGATGAAAAATCTCGGGGGAGACCCTTGTTTTTTTTTGGCGAACATTTTTTTGGCGAATTTGACGTTGAAAGATACCCGAAGGATTTGTCACGTTGACGTCACCTTCGTACGCATCCTCTGGCACGGTCGTGAAGGCCCTATTATTGTCCTCCTTCTCAAGAGAGTTTCCTTCCTTTCCTCTCCGGTGTCGAAGGCGTATTTCGCCACCAGGCTGCTTGGAGACAGCCATGGCTACTTGCTGCGTGTACCTCAAGTGCCGATATCGATCACCACGAGCTGGACACGTGTAGCCGCTCACCCCGCCCGATTTTTTGTGTTTTTTCACTTGATTACTATTATTATTAATAGCTTGTTAAAATTTCCTCGTCCGGCATATGGCAAGACGTCCGAGATGTGCTTGTGTCGGTTGTACCCTACCCATGATTTCTCTGCTGTTGCGTTGGTCTAGCTTGCCGTTGGAGAAAGCGTTTAGTCCATGGCTGCTTGCGCTTGAATATGTATCCCTGACCCAAAAACATGCACGTTGTACAACACTACATGAGCGTATGCATACGTACGTACTTTTCGAACTCCACTCACGCGATACAACGCTGTTCAAACAAACCGGGTTTCTGTCTATATACAGAAACATGAGCTGGAAGTACATAAATCTGACAGATTGTCGGTTATGATACCGCGCGAACCGACCGAGAGCGGTCCCCACTGTGTTGCTCGCACAGTTGTGTTTGCCTCAGCGTGGTATGTTGAACACTGGTGTTTTTTCCCTGCGGTTGGTGTGAAATGTACATGTCAACTATACAACAATAGTGAGCATCGTTTCTCTGCCGGTGTTTCACATCGCATGTACACTTTGCTCCATGGCCCCACCTTGCCTGTTGCGAAGCTGATCATTTTTCGCCGAACGCATGCATACAGCCCCGCTCTTTCGCTGATATCATACCCGCTTTCCCTCCTCCCACACCCCCTCCGTTTGCACGAAAACAGCGCCTTCAACGGTGCCGCCCTCACCACTGCGGCCAAGTCCTCCTCGGCCATGAAGATGTCCTTCGAGTCCGAGATCGGCGCGCAGCCCCCGCTCGGCTTCTGGGACCCGCTCGGCCTCCTCGCCGACGCCGACCAGGAACGGTTCGAGCGCCTCCGCTACGTGGAGGTGAAGCACGGCCGCATTGCTATGCTCGCCATCGCCGGCCACCTCACTCAGCAGAACGTCCGCCTCCCCGGCATGCTCTCCAACTCGGCCGACCTGTCCTTTGCCGACATGCCCAACGGTGTGGCCGCCCTCTCCAAGATCCCCCCGGCAGGCCTCGCCCAGATCTTCGCGTTCGTCGGCTTCCTCGAGCTGGCCGTCATGAAGAACGTGGAGGGCTCCTTCCCCGGTGACTTCACCAACGGCGGCAACCCCTTCGCATCCTCGTGGGACGCCATGTCCGAGGAGACCCAGGAGTCGAAGCGCGCGATCGAGCTCAACAACGGCCGCGCCGCCCAGATGGGCATCCTCGCCCTCATGGTGCACGAGGAGCTCAACAACAAGCCGTACGTTATCAACGACCTCCTCGGCGCCAGCTACACCTTCAACTAAATCCACCACACCTTTGTAACGGGGGAATTTAGAGGGAGGAATAGTTGTTGCCCTGCACTGGTGTTGTGTCTCGGAAGATGATATGATGATCGTTTTGCCAGTGCTCGTTGGATCGGATTTTTTCAGCCCTTTTTACATCGTGAGGTGCGCCTTTGTTCAAGTCCTCCTTCCGACCGTTTGGCTGTTGAGCACAACCACGCGTACATGTCCTGTTGGTCAGAAGGTGTTCCGTAGATGGGGCGGGACTTCAATTGTAGAATTTCTTGAGAGCGGGTTGCGATAGATGTAGAGGCATGACTTTTGAGTGCAGACGGTTGCGTTGCGATTGTTCTTGCGAGAGAAGGTCGTGATGCAACCAAATAAGTGAGACTTTTTTGACAGCAAGTCGTACATTTTTCGCACAACGGTAGTGGGGTGGGTAGGGCAAGATCAGGCGTGTTCTTTCCCTCACGCCACCCCCTGCAAATCGAAACTGCTTGTTCGTGCAGAATTGGTGTGCTGTGTCTGCAGCGACCGACCGTACAGAGCAATGATCAAGCGTCTGGCTTGCGCGGGGTACATTCCGTCAACTCAGCAGGAGGGTGGTGTCGTTCCCGCCCCCTCCGATTCGTTGTTGTCTAGTCTTGGGTTGGTTTGCGATGGATACTGATGGCAACTTGAAAATACGACAACGAAACCTCCAAGAAATTGCATCTTTTGAACGCACCTTGGTGCGATCAGCAGCGATGCCGTCTGCAGTGTGCGTGGTGAGTGGATTTTTTTCACGTGCACTTTCTGCCCTGTTTTGGCTCTCTGAAACGCTGTTCCAAGTGGGTGGATTGTCTCGCTCCCGTGAGCATGCACCTTTTTGCTATACATATGATGCGCTCTGCGATTGATTTTGAATCACATCGCTTAGCTCGCTGCACTCAGCTGGGCTATCTAAATGGTTGCTCCGAGATTTGGAGTGTAGGCTTGTGTGTGCGCAAGTGTGTTGCCTTTTTCCGAACGTGCAGAAGTGGACGCCGCCCGAGGGACCCACAAACGTTGCAAGAAATGCTCATGTGGTCCCTCTGCCTCAGGAAACAACTTTTGTTGTGTGGTGCACAGAAAATCGTGCAGGCGTTTAATTTAGACTAATCCTCGATAACACGTGGTACAAGGTGTAGCGTTCATGTGCGTGCATACACACCGATCGTACACAAAATATAGGCGGAGGAACCGACGTCATGGAAGTTACGGCATGCGCCGCCGACTCCAGTTGGTGTTGGGCTCAATCAACCTGGTGTCTCCGAAAAAATCTCCTGGCAACATATTCAGTCTGAAGTATTCACGAATACAATTCTGAACTCGCGGCTGGTCGTTCGTGCCGCAACTATTTACAACTACAATCACGATCACCAAACATTGCTGCGGCCCTGCGCACTGCGACAAAATCACGCACGGCAGTAGTAAATGACGCGTAAGGAGAATGTCAGCAACCCTTGAAATGATTTTCTCAAACACGACATTCTCGTGGGGGAGACGCAAGACGACAAAGACCGATAATCCCCAGGGTAGGGTATTGGTGGGGTCCCCGTATAATCATACCACGGGCGCTAGTGCTGCTCGTGGAAGATACCACTGCTATCACGTGTCTGCCTCTCTCCCTCTGTTGCTGTTTCTCTTCCGGCTGAAGCATGCGCTCTCCGACCGGTATGTGGTTCGTCTCTCCTCCCAACACCGGTGCTCAGCTCGGTGCAGTGCTCCACGTTGGCGCCGTGCCGCCGCCCCGCGGCGGTCAAGTCTTCATGTGTTCAACAACGGCGACCACTGCAACAAGGAGCAATGACGAGGCAGTGCGCGAAGCAGCAACCACGGGTGATGACGCCGCGATCCCAGAGCTGACGCCAGCGGCCGCACCTCTGGCCGGCGGCCGGATGGCGGGGTTGAGTCGCGCTCGCGAAGCGGCCGCCGCAGCGCGAGATGTCGGAGCAATGACGGACGGGCCTGGCAACAATGGGAGCCTTCTTGAACAACAACAACAAGTTGTTCCTGCTGTAACGACCCGCCGAGTACGACAACGACCCCGAAGCGATGACCAAGCAGCACCAAGCACAGCGGCAGCGAGAGCGAGAGGCTCGCCAGCAGAGCAACTGTTGTATGGCTCGACCGAGGAGGTGGAGGCTAGCGCGAAAAAGGAGGGAGTTTCCGCACGTGCGCTGAGGAGGTATTGTTTGCACCGATGTTGTCCCACTGCACAAGTGTTCCAATGATCGACGTAGCATGCTTCGTCAGCAGATGCATGCAGTACATGACCACAGCAGTACTAGTGTGTGGTATCGGCACCGAGTAGACACGAGAACGACGCTCATGTTACACCGACTCCCTTGCATGTAATATGTTGTATCTTCGTAGGTCTCGCGCCCTGGTGAGGAGAATCAAGAGGATACCCAAGACGGAGAGCAGCTGGGAGGCGGCGCTCCGCGAGCTGGACCAGGCAGAAAGGGAGGAAGCGCGACACAGACGGCGGGAGCGAGACCAGCAAAACAACAACGACGACGCTGGGCAGGACGGCGAACCTTTAGATCTGATGTGGGTTGGTTCAAGGTAGACGGGGCAGCTGAACCCATCCCTTCCGCTGGCATTCCAAACAACTGAGTACCGTATGTTGCTGTACACGAGCTTGTGTGGGCAATTGAGCGAAACTCATGTGGGGTCCAGCACATCTTCAACCCAGTTCGTGTGTATGCATACTGCTGTACTTGTTCAAGTACAACAAGCTAATTTGCTGAAACCGCAGGCAGCAGCACGTGCGATGAATTCCCTTTTCGATGTTACGTTAATAAATCCATCCAGCAGTAACCTCGTCTTTGAAAGCGAATATGTAATGAAGAAATGCGTCATTTTCCCGTGGCATGACTCACGAGTCGCGATTCGTTCCCGTCGTTGTGGTCGTATGCCGTAGCAGCAGTGGCACGCGCTCACGTACGTAGCGCTCTTTCGATACTGGTTTTCACTCCGCCAGCAACCCATCCACTGAAAAGACTTCAACCCATCTCCTCCCACTACTCTGTGGTATATCTCCAACGAGTAGCCTTTCTATCATTGCATATTTTCGACCACAGCAGCAGCAGCATCACCTGCCTGCTGTAGCCAACAACGTCGCCTGCGCTCTCACGCATTTGTTGTGCCCTCTGTGATTCTTGCTTTCCACCCGCCAACAACCAAACCAGCAACTCCAGCAGCAGCAGCACCGGGAAGGTGGTGCGGGTGGGCATGGTGGACGCATCGTACGAAACGTGCCTCGTCCACTTGACGCACTCGCTGAGGTGGAGAGAGGCGCTGGGGCTCCTTTACCACATCAGGGCCCTCGGGATCACGCCCAACGTCAAGAGCGTGTCTGCGACGTTGAACGCCTGCGGCCAGGCCGGACAGTGGCAGAGGTAGGTGTGCGTGTTCCTGTGACTTCCTGACCCTGGCTAGACTCGCCAGAGGATCGGAGGGTTTCAACGTTAACCCCGCCACTGCGATGTCGTTTTCGAGAAAAAACGACTTTTCGAGAGCGAAACCGGCTTGAAAAATCGCCATCACAGCAGTCCCTTGTGTTTCGCGTGGCGGGCAAGCATATTCAGCTCAATTTTTGGACTTAGGAGTAGGTGCATGCATCCCGCCGCACCCGTGTATTGTGTCATGTATGAATGAAAAGTACGAATAACAATTGGACCAACGTCTTATTCTACTCGTTGCGATTTCTTTCTCCCGTCATGTGAACAACTGGATCAACTCCTCGTTTGTCTATTGTGCGATTGTTTCTTTCTCCCGTCATGCACGCATGTCATGCCTGGCGCCCCCAGGTGCCTGGAGCTGCTTGGCGAGGCCCGGGAGTGGGGCACCGAGCTAAACGAGGTGAGCTACAACACGGCCATCTCCGCCTGCGCTCGGCGCGACCGCTTCGAGGAGGCGCTACGCCTGCTGCGGGACATGCCCTCCGTCGGCCTCGTGCCCGACGGCTGGAGCTACGGCGCTGCCATCGGGGCGTGCGCCGGCACCGGGCAGGCCTCCACGGCGCTGCAGCTCTTGCGCGAGATGGAGGAGCGCGGCATCGAGGCGACGGCGTCGAACTACAAGCACGCCCTGTACGCCTGCTGCGACTCCAAGACCGGGGAGAACTGGGAGGCGGCCGCGGCGCTCCTGCGGCGGTCGGATACCCTGCGGAACAATTTCTTCTACGGGAGGGTGATCATGGCTTGTAGGCGGGCTGGGCAGTGGCAGAAGGCCCTGGTGAGAGGCGGTTCGGTCGGTCGCCGTTGTTTTTTTCACGCTTCATGTTGAACGTTTTTGTTGGTGGTTGTGTTGACGTCTACAAGCCGTTCCGATATCTCTACCTAACGGTTCCTCCCTCTGTCCGTACTCATGTAGCACTTGACGCGGTCGATTCCCGTTGTACAGGCTGACTTACCCTAGAAAGGCACCCAATTACCTGGTTGTACCCGAATTTTGTTTCCGTTCTTGCTAGGCTGGGTGGTTTTTGGTCTGTCCTGGGGGAAGGAAAGGGGTTCGTTTCGGGATCGCGCAGCACGGAGAAAGGGCTAGTGTCTGACTTAAGCCGCGTGGACATCATTTTTATTGTGTATATCTGTGTGTATACGCGCCTTCCACCCCCCTGGCCAAATGCGATCTCCAATCAAATCGAACCGAACCAACCCAGGAAGTGCTGAGGGAAATGCCCCGGGTGGGCTTAACTCCGGATATCTTCTGCTACGACACCGTCATCTCCGTCGCCTGCCTGAGCAGTGTCGGCGCTCAGTGGAAGATCGCCAGGGGGCTCCTGAGAGAGCAGGTCGGGTCCCGTTTGTTGGTGCTGTGTTGTTGTAGGTATTGGTACTGGTGTTGGTGTTGTTGATGATTTGTTGGTGCTTGCTGCTGTTGATGTCGTTGTCGTTGCCGATTGTTTGGCACGTGTTTGTTCTCGTGACATCGGATACATCGTGGCTGCTTCTGCTGGTCTGGTTGGACCCCATTTCCCCCTTACAAAGGACCGAGCCAATCAACTAATGTACAGAAATCGAGTACAATTTTTCATCGTAAACGGTTCTCACATTGGATTAATTCAACCGTCATCAACCCATCCCTTTGCTTGCGATGCAACTCGATGCGACTCGATGCGATGCGGTGGAATGCGGTGCGATGCGATGCGGCGCAATGCGGGGCGATGCGGTGCAATGCGGCACACGTGGGCGGGCAGGCCGAGACGGGCGTCCCGTGCAGCCTTATCTCTTACAACCTCGTGCTCTCCGCCTGCAAGAAGGCCGGCAGGCCAAGGCAGGCGGTCTCCCTGCTCCGCGCGATGAGGAGGGACGGCTGCCGCCCGGACCTGATCAGCTACAACACCGCCATCTCCGCCTGCGTGAAGCGCCGCGAGTGGAAGTTAGCGCTGTTCGTCCTAAGGGATATGCAGCGGCCGGATAGCGGCGTGGAGCCCAACACGTACAGGTGCGGCGGAATGACGACGTTGGTTGGCGCCCTCTGACTTTTGCTCGGTAGTCTACGCAGGTTTTTCTACGTAAGCAAACATACGGATAAGGTATAAAATCGGTTACAATGGGGTTAGGGTTAGGCGCTGTGTGCCCTCTGCCTGGCTCTCTTTTCGTAGTAGACTTGCCTTCGTTGGATGGGCAGTCCCTTATTCGGGGGGGGGGATATCCCTCTGTAAGTAGTTGTGCCTGGAATGGCAGATTTAACTGAGAAGGCACGATCAGCGAGCCCGGTTAGGGTAAGAGTCGAGGCCGTATTTTTCCTCTCGGTGGCGCAGGTGAGGAACCTTCTTTGAGGAACCTTCTTGGATCCTTTCTCGAACCCTCTAACCCGCCT